TTTTTTTTTTTTTTTTTGGATAACTGTTTATGACGCTTTCATTGGCGAGATTTTACTGATAGCTAACTTGTACCAGAAGAGCAAAATATGGACAGGTACGTTTTGGAATCATTGCAAAGATAGCATGAAAATTACATGCTTGGTGTTGACAGTAATGGACAGATCACTGCAAATACAGCAGAAAATAGCTGTATAAGTCAAAAGACTTAAATGTTATTTAGTTCTCCTCACCTGCCCAGAGCCTGGTTGAGAGCTCTGTAAGCTTGAATTTCATACCACTGGCTACCTGGTAAAAGTCCTCTTAACTTTGAATGCTGGTCATTGTATTTCCTCTTCAGCTCAACCTACAATAAATTTATAAAACACTATTAAAATATTATTCAAACAGTTATTATATGATGTTGCAAAAGGAAAGAAAACACAGCAAAATTAAATGATCAAGAAATTTGATTGGTGGGGGGAATGTTGCAGATGTTTGTGAGGTGCAATGATGAGTTCAAAATAACAACTCTTTATTTCCAGCGTAAACCTTCATACCAATCCTTTTTACCATAAATGAAAATGGATTTGGTGGCCCAACTCAGCACACTGGACACACTTTGTTGGAATTAAATTAGTATGAGATCAGACTAGTAGCACCAAGATGAAGTGACAATGCTGTCTGTGCCTGATAATAGCCCCTGTGTTAGTGTAATTTTTATGTAACTACCACAATTCATACCACAACCATCAAAAATAGTATTTTACTATTAAGCATCTAGCTCTTGTTCTATAAAATATCCTTGAGAACAAAGCGATTGAAATAGTCGTCACTGATTTTTAGGGACGACTATTTTTAGTGACTATAAAGTGATGATTTTGAACTTAGGCTAATCACAGAGATTCAATCAAGCTGCTAACATGCAGTGTCATTCATTTGGTTCTGCCCGTTTTCTTCATCGGTAATACAAGGATCGCTCAATCAGAACACGGCCATTATACGTTTATCTGTACTTTAGTAGCTTGCTAGTAAAGGATGGACAATCAACAATACCGGTAAGAGAGTTGTTGTCCTAGCCACTCAGGAAGAAAGACAAGAAGCAAGAGATGTAGTTATGTTAGGCCTCAGTGTTGTTAACTTGTTGGGGAACACTGCCTAGCTATAAATCATGCAGCGCAGCACCTCATTTTTATCCTGCTCGTTCACACCAACTTGGGATGAATGCTGTCAGTGTACTTCCTTCCAAACCATTGCTAGAATCCCACTGCCCTTCTCTCCTCTGAAAATTAAGTGAGGATCATTTAATATAAAAGTGGTATAACGTCACTCATGTCAAGCATACGAGGGGGCAGGGGGAAAAAGGGAACCGGTGGAACAGAATCATCCACTACTGTATCACATATTAGAAACCTCGACAAGCTTCTCCCGGCTTCTGAAAGGCCTTCCCGTATGTTCGTTTCCAACTCTGGGTTGTTAGGGAATCAAACTCCTTTATGATGCACATTTTTGCACAGGAAACCTGCTACCTGCTAAGGGGCAATGAGTTCACCTTCACCTTCTTGCCTACCCAACTGAGTCTGAGCTGAACTTGGGAAGGGAAGGTTAAAACAAACCAAAAAGAACAACAACAAAAACCTGTTCTACTTCAGCCAATCTGGCAGTAAGGGGAAAATTCCTTCCCAGGCCCGATGAAAAGCAGCTAAACACAATGTCCGCAATTCAACATAAAACCTGGTCCCCGGTTCTGATCAGCCGAGAGCTGTCATCACAGAAGGAAGCAGAGTTCCCAGGGAAACGTGGTACCCACTGCTTGTGCCCAAAGGAGAATCCCCTTTACCATGCCATAACCTGAATGATCAACTGCTTCCAAGGAGCCGTGACCTGTTTCTGCACTACTGGTGAGACAAAGACCCTCTTGCTTATGGACTGTGGGGAGCGCTTTTCCATGCAGTAGCCTAAAGGCGAGAGGCACTACGAGGCCTGTCTTGCTATGCAACCCCATCCTCCTCTCATAGTCCAAGTTCATCACGCTTTGAACACTTAAGCATAGAAGAGACACACTTGTGTCAATCAAGGAATCTATAACTGACCGATATAGTCAATGGTCTAATATTGGGAGGAATTCTCTCAGCGTCTCTGCAACGGGCAGAAAAAGGAAAGGTGTGACAATCTAGGGTAACAGCAGCATGTCAGACACATGGGTTCAACTGCAACAATGCCAGAATTATGATGCATTTCATAGTCTTTTTCTTTTGTTCAGGGAAACATTTTATTCAGCTCTCTTTCTACAGAACTACTTAAATCTTTCAAGCACTTTGCCAAGCTAATACCCACCGAAAAAGAAAAAACTTGCTTTCCTGTGCCAATCAAATGGATGGTGCTTGCTAACAGCCCATTCTGAATCTGTGAAGTCTTGTTTCCCATTTATTAAGCACATACAATCCCAATACATATTTTTGGAATTTACTGTTTGTTCTTATATTTCTTAAAGCATAAAACTATATAAGAAAGGTTCTTTTCCCTGCTCTTCTGTACAGTATTAACCTTTCTAAACTGACAACTGAAAGGACACGCTTCAGGAGAGAAAACAGCAGACTTCTAACCACTTCTGACAGGTAACTTTCAACTTGAATTTGGGTAAGAAATTTTATTTTATATACTTATGCCCTTTAAAACAGCCTGTCAAATTTACAAATCCAATCTTTAGAGCCAGAAAGTAAATTCAGTTTGATTTCACAGATTTAATATTTGTTCCAGTCACTCGGCATTTATTGATTGGTGCATGAGGTTTCCTCCGTTATTTTCAAAGCATAGAGAAAAGCCTTTTCCCTGAACAGTTTGTAAACATAAATATAATTTTAAAGGAGAATTTAAACTGTAAATACATCTGGTTTTTATTTCTGTTAATGTAACTGCCGCTTGAATAAACTACAGTGAGTATTTTTAAGGATCTGTGGTAGAGAATAAAATTTAGAAAACAATTCTAGGCTGCGAGAAAAAAAATCTCAATAAACACTTCTAAAAACAATCAAAAACAGTCACCAAGTTTTGCATAGTGGAGAAGTCGTTTCTTTTGCTTCCGTAATGGATTTCCCAACAGAACTGATTAGCAAAGGATTTTGCCATCAACAAGGCTTTTACCAACATTTCCGAAGCTTCCTGGTATTTTGAAAGATTTAGTAAAGCAACAGTAACTTGCCATTACACTGTACATTGATTAAAATGATTACAGGCAATCTAACCATTACACGCAGGGGTATATTTATATACATAATGAGCAAAATCATTGTCAGATTATCTACATGAATGTATAAGCCTCAACATTTATTAAAATACTAATTAGCAAAAAAGAATATTATTTCCAATTTACATGCTTTCAAATACACTGTAAATCTGCACTGCATATTATTAATGCTGTATTTTAAATTGCCATTGAACATTTTACAGAATTGTGCAAAAAAAGAATATTCTACACATCTGACAAGGCATCACATAACTTAAAAAACTGCTTTTGCAAATCCTGTCAATTGTAAAAACAACTGGATGACAGGAAACAAACACCCTGTTCTGACTCTAAAGATCGTATTGCAGCATGAGGTGACTACCTAGATTGCTGAGGGTTAAGCATTCATTATAAGTCTAGTAAAGGTAAAAGGCCAGTGCATGTCATTTTAATGCAATCAGAATCTATTTCATTGTATAACTCTGCATTATCAGGCATCAAATCAACGCCCAATTCAAAATGACATGTTGCATATGTGAAAAAGCCAGTCTCTCCTGCTAGCAAATATCCTAAATGTGCAGTAAACCACAGGCTAGAAGGGATTAGTTAAAATGTCAAAAGACAGCCTTTTACTCTTACCTGTTCATCCTTAAAAATATACTCCTAGCTATCAGGCATGCTTTACAGACAAATAGCTTCAGCAACGAGCAGCAGAAGGCCTGTGGCAAGCTCTGCCATCTTGTAGCTGTCAGAGAGATTAGTCTTTGATCTATCTGGGAGGTCATGGTCACATTCACATTAGCTGAACTGCAATAGCATTATACCTGTTAACCACTCTTTCTTTGAATGCTTAATTAGTCAGACCTTCCCATTTGGAAAGTGAACTGGGGAATATACTGAGTTTCAACAAAAAATAAATGCCATAAACAAACTTTTCCTATTATGGTTCAGATAGTTTGAGGCATTTTATACTATAAATCAAATGCATTTTTCCTACGCTTTCCAAAAGCAGAAGGCTAATTTTATAGAAGATTTTTAGTTAAAAAGGCACTTTATTAAGTGAGATCTTGGGCCGAACAGGTTAGAGGAGATAAAAATGTTTCACCTATGGAAACCTGGATTCGTCCTCAGTTCAGGTGATACGTGAAATGGGTATAACAGTTGAGACAGTCCACAGTGCAAACAATGTAAAACTATCACATTATTGGCCAGCTGCTAAGATGAAGCCCCAGAGAACAGTGGGGTTATTGCAAGTCAGTGGAGAGGTTAATTCAGGGAGTTGTGCGCCGAAGCTTTTATAGCACCTCACCTGTACTGCTTAAGACTGCACCAAATTCATTCAGTTTACCATAACCCCATGCATTTTTATACTGAAGCAAACAAATAGCAACCTAGAACAAGGTAAGAGCTTCTGGTAGGATAATAACGTTATGGTTACATTTTATCATTGAAAATGTGTTCTGTCAGCTTAAAGTTAGTTTTGTAAATGTAAAAACTTTACACCAAGACAAAACCAAAGCCAAAGGCATGATATCAAACAGAGATTACCAAGTCCATAGACTACTGAAATTTTAAATAAACTCTACATACCTTCAAATAAACAATATATACGAGACATATTATGTTATCTTGCTCACTCATGATAAGCTTTTTAGGACAAAGAGTTCAACCCATAAATAAGAATAAAAACTAATCTGTTAAAACTACTAATTAAAACTATTAAGAAAACTTTACTTCAGTAAAAATAAACACATTTTCCACTAGACACTCATCTAGAATGGTTTTATCTTCAGCCAAACGATAGGGCCTGAGACCTAAACAGTTTATAGCAAGACCAAACTGAGGAGGGAGAATGTGCATTTACTGTTCAGTATCACCATGCTGTAAACACATTTATCAGTGCAAATATCACCATATACAGTCCAATGGCTAAAGGGTCCCAACTCCAGTATAAGACTATGTATGCAAAATATTTAAATCGACAAAATGACTAAACTGGTTTTACTTCACCTGGCATATTTACAAGTTTTTAGAGGCTGTACTTATTTAACCAAATACAGTACTATATTTTGCTAAAATGGAAAAAAAAAAAAAAAAAAACATTTGGTCTGCTGCCAAGAGTTAACAAGCCAGCCTCACTT